CATGGCAGGAAGATACTGCTCTTCGTGGCTTTCAAGTCTTTTTCAGGGAACTATAACATGACAACCTTTTAGAATTAGCACTTCTCTATAAATAGGCAGTAAATTACCTATACCAAATAAAGTCACATATGCATTTTTATTAAAATAAATACTAAAATAATAAGTAATTTTCCTATAAAACCATTTGAGATTTATGCAAGTTAGAATTCTGCAGTGCAGTTTAGTATGAATCATTTGTAGTTCTTCATCTTCACTGACAGGTGGGGCTACTGATTTCTGTATTAATTATAATATTTTAGCATATTAAAATCTGTATCTAGATGAAGAAGATACTTCAAAGCTTCAACACCAATAAAACTGCATACCTCACTTTTAAGGGATAAATCTGTTTGCATCAATATGTGAAATATACTACTAAAACACCCCTGCTGATTTCTTAAGCTTTTTCAGAGAGTTATGCATAATTTTCTGAAAATTTAAAACTGAGGATCAGATATATATGATGCTAAAAATTAGATCTCAAGGACCGTTAAAAACTTGGAAGATTCTCCTAAGATAAGATTTTTTTTTTTGTTCAGTTCAAAAATTATTTAACATATACCGAAGATTTAAAAGCAGCACAGTGGAGTCAGATCCAAGTTCTAGCCTCAGCTCCACTATTTAATAGCACAGTGCTATGGCCTGAGTGTCCTTCAAAAGTCATATGTAGAAATTAAACCACTCATGTGATAGTATTAATAGGTGGGGTCTTTAGGAGGCAATTGAGTAAGAGGGCTGGAGGAAGGCTGGAGGAAGGGCTGGAGGAAACTAGTTAGCCCCTTTTCACCCCACCTTTGCACATGTAGGAATACAATGTCCCTCTCTGAATGATGCAGCAACAAGGTACCATCCTTAATCAGGCACTGAGCCTGCTGGTTCCTTGATGCTGAACTTCCAGACTCCAGAACTATGAGAAATAAGTCCCTGATCTTTATTGATTACCTAGTCCCAAGAATTTTGTTATAGCAGCAGGAATGGACTAAGACACAGTTATAGTGAGTTAGTCACTAAATAGCTTTATGAACCTAATCACAGAATTAAAATAAGAATTTAGTGAAGTAACAAGAGAAACTGCTTTATAAATGATAGGTCATGCCTCGCAAATGTCAATTTTTGAAGATGGTATGGTATAAGCTATGTGGAAATCCATATTTAGATTTGAAGACAAATGGTCAGGAATCTACAAATTCTCTGTGCATATTTGTTTTTGTTCTTTTACATTTTAGTTTGTTTTTAATGTTGATGTTAATCTTTTAAAATGCTCATGTAATTACATTATAGATCATCTGACTATCCTCCTTATAACTGTCATGCAACATGTGTATTCATGACAACATTAGTATCAAATTACTCAACTTCAGTTGTTTCCAAGTTAATGAAAACAGATGTGGGCAGACTTAATATGTAGCTGTCATGTTCTTTCAATAGGAAGACAAGTGACAAGGGCAAAAATTCTGAACAAAGATTTAGTAATAGCTTGAATCCAGAAAACTGATGAGAACACTCAATCCTTACATAGCACACTATGGCATTGGTAAACTGAATCTTAAAAAAAGAATCCTGGCTGGGTTCAGTGGCTCTCACCTATTATCTCAGCACTTTGGAAGGCCGAAGTGAGAGGATTGCCTGAGCCTACGAGTTTGAGAACAGCCCAGGCAACTTGGTGAGACCTCATCTCTACAATAAATCAAAAAATTAGCCAGGCATGGCAGTATGTGCCTGTAGATCTAGTTACTTGGAAGACTGAGGTGGAAGGATCACCTGAGCCCAGCAGGTAGAGGCTGCGGTAGCCATGAGTGTGCCACTGCACTCTAGCCTGGGCGACAGAGTGAGATACTGATTCAAAAAAAAAAAAAGAATCCTGCCAGTTAGCATTAAGAGCAGTGATTAAACAACATTCATTAGTAATAAGTTAATAAGATCATTTGTATTGGTTTTACAACTTTATATGTACTTATTGCAATTGTGTTTTAGTTAAAGTCATATGAAAACTGTAAGCTTAGGTTTATATCTAGATTCACAATTGTATAGACGTAAATGCTATAAAATTAACATTAATTAAAAATAATTTAAGTAGCTGGGCTCGGTGGCTCAGGCTGTAATCCCGTGGCTTTGGGAGGCTGAGGTGAGTGGATTGCCTGAGCCCCGGGGTTCGAGACCCGCCTGGGCAACTTGGTGAGACCTCATCTCTACAATAAATTAAAAAATCAGCCGGGCGTGGTAGCGCATGCCTGTAATTCCGGCTACTTGGAAGGCTGAGGCGGAAGGATTGCCGGAGCCCAGCAGGTCGAGGCTGCGGTGGCCAGGAGCGGCTACTGCACTCCAGTCTGGGCGACAGAGTGAGACTCCAACTCAAAAATAAATAAATAAACAATTTAAGTTAATACTTGAGAGTTGCAACTAATGAGATCAGAACTCAGGTTGTCTTCTCTCTGTCCTTTGTTGTGTGACTCAGGGCAAGCCAAATGCTCTTGTCTTCCCTATCTCTTCACAATAAGATAAGGATAATAGTCTCACATAGGACCATTGTGAGGGGTAGATGAATAGAATCGTGAATGATTGAATGAATGTCTTCCCAGGTATAGCGTGTGGTGGACAGACCTCTGAATCAAGAGTTTGGGCTTTCAACCTACATTTCAATGCTACCCTTAGGTAAATCTACTTACCTCTATGGGAGTTACTTCCCTACTTTCTAAAACTAGGAGCTATGTCAGATTATCTCAGTTCTTTCTAACATAGTTCTGATAGAAGGTGATTGGGGTTTCCATTGGAATTTCAAAGGAATCCTCATTTCTACATCATATCCACAGTTACTTGGTTTTCCATTGGCTTTTTAAAAAACTTACGACTCAAGGAACACAAATTTTTAGATTCATTTGTGATCAATGCAGTAATTTGCAAATAAAAACAGAGTTAGAAGAGCAAAATTCTCTCACCAATCAGAGAGATTTTAATATTTTTCCTTGCTTTGTTGTTTTTTCTGGTATAATGGAGGGACAGAACTCATACTGGAGTCTTCTCTCTGTACTTGAATGTAATCATCCTAGGTAAGTCAAAGACCTCACTCTACTGCACTATTTAAAAAACAGGCTCTGGGCACAGACCCTATGGATTCAAATCCTTACTCCACCACCTATTCGCTGTGCAGCTTAGGGCAAATTGCTGAACTTTTTTTTGTGTATGTGAACTGGAGTCTCACTCCATCTCCCAGGCTGGAGTGCAGTGGCACACTCACGGCCACCCCAGCATTGATCTGATGGGCTCTGGTGATCCTTCTGCCTCAAGTCTTCCAAGTAGCCGGAACTACAGTTGCATGCTACCATACCCAGCTAATTTTTTTATTTATTGTAGAGACAAGGTCTCGCCAAGTTGCCCAGTCTGGTTTCAGACCTGCTTTATCTTTTAAAATTCAATGTAATAGAATCTATTCGTTTCTGAGTGTGGTAGCTCAAGCCTATAATCCCAGCACTTTGGGAGGCGGAGGCAAGAGGATTGCCTGAGCCCAGGGAATCAAGACCAGCCTGGGAAACATGGTGAGACCTTGTCTCTACAATAAATGAAAAAATTAGGCAGGCATGGTGGCGAGCGCTTGTAGTTCTAGCTAGGTGGAAGACTGAGGTGGAAGAATCGCCTGAGCCCAGCAGGTCAAGGCTGCGGTGGACGTGAGGGTGCCACTGCACTCCAGCTTGAGTGACAGAGACTCCAACTCAAAACAAAAAACAAAAAACAAAAACTTTCTGTTTGGTGTGTTGTTATGATTGAGACAAGTTCTAGAACAGTCAGTTGCAAAACCTGGCACTTTGTAAAATGCCCTATGAATGTTAGCCATTATTGATATAATCATGCTTATTTTTCTTCCTTTTCATCCTTAGAGTTCCTGTTACTGCTCTGAAAGAAGAGAAAGAGAGGGCTTAAGATACTTGGAGCATGAAAAGGTATTAAGAAAACTTTGGTAGTGTAGACACGGAGTGGCAACCAGTACCCACCACACTGGCACAGACTAGAAAGAGCAGTCACCATATGCTTCAGGAAACTTGGATTGGATCTGGACGCCACACTTTTCTAACTTTGTGAATTTCATTAAGTTATATCGTCTCTCCGAGCTTTTGTTTACTCCGCTGTAAACTGAGGATAGCAATACTTGCCCTATTTCACAAGGCTGTTGGTGAAAGATGAAAAAACAAAGTATTCGAAAACAATTCCTAAGGCCTTAAGTAAGAAGACAGGTGGTTTTTCTCCCCAGCTGGATACATTTGGAAGTGTCCGAAGATTTGCATTCTTGCTCGGGCCTTCTCATTAATTAACAAGCTGTGCTGAAATCATTTACTCCCTCTGGGTTGCATTCCTCTGCCAAATAATAACAGTAGAAACGACCACCACTGATTACGGGCCAACCAAATGCCCCGCGTGGCACTATGCAACCTCTCTCATTTAGTGCTCACAATTTTGAGGCAGACATTAGGTCTGTAGCACGGATGGAAACAGTGAGGCTGAGAGAAGTTAGAAACTAGCCACGCAGCATCTGCAGAGCGGAGGTTCTAAAAACACTCAGTCATGAGAAAGAATCGCTAGCAATAGTTTTGCCTCCAATCGCCTACTTTTCCACCAACATTCAGGGATAGGCATTTGAAACGTCAAAGGGCCTGAAACCCTGGGGAGTTTCAGGGAGGGGGGTGAAGCAGGCACACCGAGTCCCGAAGCCACACCCCCCAGCCTTCAATCCGGCGCAAGCCCCGCCCACCCCCGATAGGCCTCGCCCGCCGGTCTCCAGCTCCGCCCCCACGTGCGAACCCGCCGAACACCCAGCCTGCACCGCTCTCAGAGAGAAGTAGCGCGTGCGCTCTCAGCACGCCCGGATTTCCGGTTCGCGCTCCGGGTTCCGGCAGAGAACATCTAGCCAATGAGGAGGACTAGGAGGCGGGCCGTAGTTCTCCCTGGTTTGTGCTCCGCCCGGTGCTTTCGGAGTGGAGGGGAAAGGCCCAGGTGAGGCTGCCTCCTACCCGCTGGGTCCATGGCTGCCTCTGGGAAACTCAGCACGTTCCGTCTCCCGCCGCTGCCCACGATTCGAGAAATCATTAAGTTGTTTAGACTGCAAGCAGTGAAGCAGCTATCCCAGAATTTTCTCCTGGACTTGAGGCTGACAGGTGGATGGCTTCTCAGTGCTGCCGGAGGTCTCCCCGTGGCCCTGGGGCGGGGGCCGGGGGCTCTCGCGCGGACCCCTCGGGCGTTCAGGCTCAGGCATGCGACGGGCTTTTGGTCAGGTCTTTCTGCCGCTGGTACAAGATCTCCGAGCCCCACTGCCCCGGAGACACGTGCAATGCTTGGTTGGCTCACAAACCCCGCGTTCAGCGCAGGTGGTGTAGACGTTGTGCTCCTGGGGGAGGGAGGACGCACGTGTGGACGGCGGTGTGGACCTTGGCGCCTCGGTCCCTAAGAAGTCAGTCACTTCCTGAAATGTACTGCCTATGCTGACGGAATTTGCTTTTCATTCTGTTCCAAGTCGCCAGAATTTGAATTAGCTTTATCAGTAACTTGTTGCAAAAGAGTCTCCCTCGTAGGATTCGTTTAAACGTTTACCTGTTGAGTCAGAGAAATTCTCGAGGGCGTAATTATTCATTCATAAATGCATACTGCATCAAGAACTTGATGGTGATTACGGGAGGGAACAAGGCGACGTGTCTCCTGAAGGAACTTACATTTTAGTATGTTTATGTTCTCGTGCCTTATTTTTAAAAGTCACTTTTTGTCAAGTGTAATGTATGTACAAGAACATTCACCAGTTTGAAATGCACGGTTTGATGAATTGTGACAAATGTATATGTTCCTTTAACCACCAGCACCATTTCTTAGTGATGTTCTCTTCTAAAAGATGAGATTGCAAGAGTAAAACATAATACCAACATGTCCACTGTTCACTGCTGGAGTGCTTAGTTTTGAGGTTTAGATATTTTAATCTATTTGGCCTCTCTTCAGAAGTAGAAGGGAGCATTTCGTCACATCGAAAAAGTTCACCTTCAATTAAATGAAGCACAGTACGCAAGACATAAATAAGACGTTTTATTTCTTGGACATTGAGTTTTTATTCTACCCGTAGAATTATGACTTTAGGTAAAACTCTTAAGTGTCCTCATCTTTTAATTGGAGGAGGGGCTTATTACAAGAACTTTAAAAAAACTACCTACCTCTGAAGTTCTTTGGTTCTAGTCATAACTAGAACTAGCCTTTTCTGCTAGTCATTAGACACACTTTAAATACAAAGCTTCATTCTCAGGGCTGAAAAGATATACATAAATGAATCCTTCACTGTATTTTCTCTTGTGAGCCTAAGGAGTAAGCTGCAGATTCTAGATACTATTTTTCACTTTTTATATGAGAACCAAAGTGAAGGGAGATGAGGATCCTTGACTGAGGCTAGAAGCTCAGACAGGAGCAGAGCAGGATTGAAACCCAAGCACAGTGATTTGACAGAGTTCCTTTAATATTCATTTGTATTAATAAGCCTAAAAAGTTTGAGGGCAGAGTCCTGTCTGCTGTCATAGCTCTCCATTTAAAAGAATGAGAGTATTAAATTTACTCCATAATGTCTGTGCTTAATGTGTCATTCCTGTTCCCTCTGAGAGGCACTGGGCTCTCAGTGGAGTAAAGATTACCTTTAGAATTTATACATGAGTTAGTCCCTTCTCTGCCATTTGCTTTCTAGGTGACTTTGCACAAATGAAATGATAGACAAGAAAACTGAAAAGTTCAGAGAAATTACATTTGGATAGGAGTTAAATTAGTTAGGAGTTAGAAATTACATTGGGATAGGAGCCCTTTAGTTGTTAGGATTTGGTGAGCGAATGTGTGTAAATCACCCATAAGAGATAAGATGGTCAGTGGATGCTAGTTCCCACCCCATAAAAGACAAAAACATTTTTGGGTGGTTGGGAAACTGATTGCAGCTGTTTAGCCTACAAAGGTAGATTATGGATAACAGAAGCAAAAATAAAAATAAAACTACAGTGTCTGAACACTGCCAAGAAATGCTGATATGCTTTTAATGACTAAATTTCCATTCTCCTAGGAGGCCCAGTTTGGATTTTAACATCTCACAGTATGTTTTTTTTTTTAGAAGTGATGACTGGCTGCAGTGAATCAATATGCTGCTTTTTAATGATTTCGTAAGGTCTGCTAACTTGAAGTTGATTAACTAAAAAACAAATTTTTCCATATTAACATGCGTGTTGGCAAAGCTTAAAAACCTCTACTTTTAAATTTAGCTTTTCCTGAATATGACCAAGGATCTAAATTTGCTAGAGTCTTGTGATCTAGGAACTTGTTGCCAACTAGATGTCTATAGCTAAAAAATGGAGACTGCCTATACTTTTTGCTTTTGAATTTCACTAGCAACATTGAAGATTCTGAATGTGAAACTAATCTTGCTTATTCAAATATTCTATGTTCAGCAATTATGGAAAAGTGATGTGTGCTTATCCAGTCTGTTTTTAGGAGCTGGTTGGTTTCAAATCAATTTGAAACAAATTGGCAGGGAACAAAGAGAAAATACATTATTTGCTAAACTTAACGTAAATTTATGAGCATCCTGTTTTTGTTAAGGGATTGGTAGAATTCAGTGATGTGGTAGAATACTGAATAGCCACTATGTATTGGTTTAGGTAGAGTGTTAAATAATAAGATCGATATTGTATATAAAGAATTAGTTGATTGGATAATGGCTGATTAATTCTTATAGATTATTTTTCTCTTTAAATTCTATACACATAAATTTGCCAAGATAGTCAAGATAACTAAGACTTTCTTTTCCCTAGATAAGATTGTAAGGAAAGCTGGCAACCTAACAAATGCTTACGTGTATGAAGTGGGCCCAGGACCAGGGGGAATCACAAGGTCCATTCTCAATGCCAATGTTGCTGAACTTCTGGTGGTTGAAAAGGACACTCGATTTATTCCTGGATTACAGGTGAGATAAATTTTATTTTTTAGGAGGCAGAAATCCTATTTAAATCTTTTTGCTATGATACTTAAACCCCGGGATGTCCAAGGATTATGTATATTGCTCCTCAAACTGCAGATCTTCAGGCCCATCGCAGAAATTTGGATTCTGTAGTCAAGAAGAATCTAGAAATCTACATTTTAACAAGTATGTCCAGATAGTCTGTTGACTACAGCTTGCATAAACCTGTTGTATGCACTGATGCTAAGCAAACTTGTGTGTGTGTGTGTTTTAATCTAAAAATAGTTGGTACATGTCGTGGCCCATTCCTTTAACAGTAAGTAAAAATAAATAGCCAGTAATGACTCATTGGTATGACTTGAGAACTTCATGTATGTTCAAAAAAGCATTTCCACAAGCAAAAAGTAGAGAAGACACACTAGCTCTTTTTTTTTTTTTTTTTTGAGTTGGAGTCTCACTCTGTCGTCCAGACCGGAGTGCAGTGGCCACTCCCGGCCACCGCAGCCTCGACCTGCTGGGCTCCGGCAATCCTTCCGCCTCAGCCTTCCAAGTAGCTGGAACTACAGGCGTGCGCTACCACGCCCGGCTAATTTTTGATTTATGATGAGGTCTCACCAAGTTGCCCAGGCGGGTCTCGAACCCGCGGGCTCAGGCAATCCACTCACCTCAGCCTCCCAAAGGCACGGGATTACAGGCTGAGCCACCGAGCCCAGCTGACACACTAGCTCTTAATCAAGAGAGACTAACTATTAAGCTTAACATTAGTGTAAGAAATTTTTTAAGTGAAGGAATGAAATTGTACCACTGTACTTAAAGATTTAAGATGAGATTTGAAAGAAATGATACATGCATCTTTAAAATACAGGCACTGTTATTATATATGAGAAATATTTGAAGGAACTGGGTATGTTTCAGCTGGAGAAAAGAGGTCCTAAGTGAGAGTATTCATAGCTGCTTATCAAAGGTAGGTGCTGAAGAGGATAAATTTGTTTCCATCTTTTCTAGGAGAGAACTAAAGTAGGTCGGAATTGAGAGTCAGGACTGAGGTATGTGTTTTCAAAACGTTGTTGAACAGTGAAATAGATTAAATCAGAGATCTTCTAAAGGGATTCCTCATAGAGAGCACTTAATAACTAACAGCCTTTGATTCCTCCATAATTTAAAAATTTTAAAAGAGTCATGAGCCTTCAGCTCAGATGACTAGCAATTTTTTATGTGACTGTAATAGAATAATAAAATTATCCAAATTATTATTTTCATATAAAAGGACAAATTGATTTAAAATTAGTACATTCTAATATTTATGTATGTACTTATGGAAAAATGTTTAGTTTCTGTCAGAACAGTTTGAGAAAATTTGTTTGAAAATCTAGAACCTTGAGTGCATGCATCTGATTTTCTTAGGAAGCTAGTGATTCTTTTCTAATATTGCTTTATCCAGTTTTTATGCTTTCAAAAATTATATATTTTATCTAATTTTGCCAGTCTATACCGACATTATGTGTTTCAGATTTAAAACTTCATTTTGAGATTATCACATGGTGCATATTGCTTGATCAAGTGTAGAATTTAGAAGTGATTTTTGTCTTGAACTGTGTTATTATTTTTAAAATGATATCTTAATTGAAAATGAAAGTGGGAATATTGTTATTTTTGGTGAGTTCATGAGATTATAAAAATAAATTGAGTAACACTGTATACTTCTCTTCAGGTTTATTCATTTAGCCGTTTTTGGACACAAGGAATACTTATTTGACTTTTTTGCTCTTAAGGAGACTAAAGATCTTTGAAGACAGACTATTGAAGAGAGCAACTGCCACCCTTCTCTTTTCAGTTGCCCTATCCCTACCAAGTCCCTGCATTCCTAACTCCATGCCTTGTATTATCACATTAGATTTATCATTCTCTGGCATATCCTATATGTTCTTCTCTTTTGTTAGTTGTCAGACTCCCCTGTGAATTGTAAGTGTTGTGAGGGTAGAGATTTTTGTCTGTTTTGTTCCCTGTTATATCTCTACCACAAATAGCAATACCTGGCCCAGCACAAAGCAGGTGTTCAGTAATGTCTCAAATGGGAAATAAAAAGATTGTATCTGTGTGAGTATCATAAAGTGTCATTCAGTAGTGAAAGTGGATGAATAATTGCATAGCCTTGATTATCAAATAGTTTTATGCTCTTTTTTTCTAAATATGAAGGTTAATTTCAAGTTAAACTATGGAAATGCATTTTTGACTTTTCATTTGTTTCAAAAGAAAAAGCAAAATTAATTCTTAGTGTCTTATATGTAGGAAAAGAACTTGCCTTAAAAAGACATGTTGGGACATCAAATAGACTTTTTTTTCCCCTGTAAAGAATGTTTCAATATGTAAAACCACGTTCTTTTAGAGGTACTAAATTAATCATAAAACTGAGTAAAGGCAGGAGAGTGATCTATTTTAAGAATTACATTTTAGTGGTTTCTAAGCTAATAGAATTACTTTTTAAAGAAATTGTAATAATTTATAAAACTTCTTCTAACTGAAAGCATGTCACTTGTAATTTAATTCAGTTTTTACAATATTATGAAACCGCTTAGGGGAAAGAACAACTGGTGAAAACATGTAGGTTTCACTGTCAGTGTTTAGTAAAGGTAAGAAAATGTGTCTAATATGTAAAAGCAGTAGGTTAGAACTTTGTGGCAAAGAAGTAAAGAACACAGGCATTTGAATCTCACTGCCTGGATTTGGCTTCAGACTACTACTAGTTGTGTGACCTTAGGGAGGTAACTGTCTTTGTGCCTCAGTTTGCTCATAGGATTGTTAAAAGAATTAAGTGAACGCCTGATATTTAGTAAGCATTCAATCTTAATTATAAGTAATCAGTTAAGAGTATTGTCTAAATGTCTTTGGTACCTCTGGTGATTAAGGATTGATCAGGAGACTGCCAATCTTGAAAGAGGTATAGAAAGAAAGTAATGTTACTCCTTGCGAGCACTAGAAAAGTCCCCAGTGCTGTAGAAATATTGGGGTGTTCTCCAACTCACCAAACTTGCATTAGACACATAGAGCTTCTGTCTTTTGATATTGTAACATTCTGGTTGTGCATTTCTAAGTCTTTTTTGACTTTGTTGTTGTCTATCTTTTTATGACTGAATGAATTCTCTGTGTCTTAGAGGAGAGTGAGGAAATCTCCTGACATCTCAGGGAATTTGAATCCTTGGTAGGTTTTTCCCTGTTTCTGAATGAGAGATGACTTTAATTTCTTGACATCTCAGGGTGCTTGTCAATTTCCAGTAAAAAAAAAAAAAAAGGCAGATAGATTTTATTTGGGATTAAATGGAAACTAGATTAATTTGAGGAGAATTGGCATCTTAACGTTTTAGTCTTATGTGCGATACAGTGTCTCTCTCCATTTATTTAGGTTCTTTCTCATTTCTCTTGGCAGTGTTTTATAGTTCTTAGCATACAAAGACATGTACACGTGCACATCTTTTGTCAGATTTACCCCTAACAACTTCATATATTTTATGCTGTTATACATGGTATTGGTTTTTAATTTAAATTCCAATCTTTTGATGCTACTATATAGAAATACCTTTTTTTTTTAAGATTTTAACTTTATATCCTGTAACCTTGCTAAACATACTAGCAGGTATTTTGTAGTTTTCTTAGGATTTTCTGCATATATTGTGTCATCAAATAAAAAGTTTTACCTTCTCTATTCCAATCTATAGGCCTCTCCTTCTTGTCTGCAACCAACAATTAACTAGGCTAGGATTCCCAGTGCAGTGTTGAATAGAGGTGGTAGGAGTAGACATCCTTACCACGTCCGTGATCTTAGGGGAAATACGTTCAGTCTTCACTATTGAGTGCAATTCCAATTGTAGGTCTAATTCTGTATCTCCTGTGTCAGGTTGAGGAAGGTCTCTTTTGTTCCTAGTTTGCTGAGTGCTTTTTAAAAAAGACTTTTTCTGAGTTTATTGAGATAGTCATTTTTTTTTAAGTTTGTCAATTATATTGATTTTTCTAATATTAAACCAACCATGTGTAGTAATGTCATCTCTGTTGTTCCTGATATTGGTCATTTTTTTTCCACTGGTTTGGCTAGTTTGGTTAAATGTATTGATCTTCTCTAAAAAACAGTTTTTCATTTCATAGATTTTTCTCTGTTGTTTTCTGTGTAATTGGTTTCTGCTCTGAAATCTTTATTATGTCCTTTCTTCTGATTTGAGGCTTTTTTTTTTTTTTTTTAATGTATAAGACAGGATCTCATTCTGTCACCCAAATTGGACTACTGGACTTGAGTACAGTGATGTGATCTTAGCTCACAGTAGCCTCAAGTGATCCTCTCGCTTCAGCCTCCTGAGTGGTTAGGACTACAGACATGAGCCACCACTCCTGGCCTCTTTCTTATTTTCTTTTTTTTTTGAGTTGGAGTCTCACTCTGTTGCTCAGATTGGAGTGCAGTGGCCGGCCACCGCAGCCTCGACCTGCCGGGCTCTGGCGATCCTTCCGCCTCAGCCTTCCGAGTAGCTGGAACTACAGGCTCGTGCTACCACGCCTGGCTAATTTTTTTATTTATTGTAGAGATGAGGTCTCGCCAAGTTGCCCAGACAGGTCTCGAACCCGCGGGCACAGGCATGTGATGTTGTCAATTTCTTTCTAAGTACTGCTTTACAGAATCCCACACATTTTTGTATTTTCATTTTTATTATGCTGAAAATATTTTCTAATTTTCTTTTTTTGTTAATGATTTTTGAGATATTATTTTCAAAGAAAGATTTCCAAAGGAAATTCAGAAGTTTTTCACAAAGGAGCTTTCATTTTTTCCTTTTGATGTTATTTGACCTATAGGTTATTCAGAAGTGTATCTAATGTAGTTGACAAATTTGGTGGTTTTTTTTTTTTCAAATATCCTTTTGTTATGTTTTAATGTAATTACCTTGTGATCAGAGAATATACATTGAGAAGGTACATTCTGGGGGTTAGAAGTCTGAAATCAAGGTCAGTAGGTCTGTATTCCTTTT